GTGTGCAGAGGTAGCGAGCCCAACCCTTCCGTCCTCCCGGGCTGCGTCTCCCCGACGGTGCCCTCCGCGGAAACTTCAGCCTCTCCGGGCTTCTCTTTGCTAGTGCATTATCGAAGGTGTGAAAGTGGCTTTGGGAATCTCACCCTCCTGCGGTCGCTGCGGGGCTTAGAAAAGCGAACTGCAAAACAACTTTTATTCGACTCTCCTGCCACCCATCAGATTTTATCTTCCATCACTCACCTGCCTGGAAAGGTTTTTCAGTTTTAAGAGCTAATTAGCTCACTCATGTGTTTGCTGTTTGTAGCGGGGGAAGGAGGAGCTGGGGCGAAACACTTAAAAAAAAAAAACAAAAAAAAAACACGCACATAAACTCTCCGGCAACGTAAGGTGGTGGTTGTAATCTCTTGCAGCCTCTTTGTGCTTTCCTCCAAAGTTCCGAATGCCTGTGACTACTGGGATACTTTTTTTTTCTTTTTTGGAGGGGCGGTGGTATTAGTTATGATGTAGGGATATTTATTGGGTGTGTAGAGGGCACAGTTTTGGATGTGCAATTCAAGTGTATAGTGTTTTGCCTTTTTTTTTTCGATCACCCTGTTGTCTCTACTTATATAGTAATATGCATCAGAGCAGTAATGCACTGGAAACAGTTTATGCCCAACTCAAGGTAAATTTTAAAGACCTATTTGTGAAGTGTGCTCACTTTTCCCTTCCATTTTTAAGTACACTTAACAGTTCAGTTGAGCTGTTAAAGGATCTCAAGTTTCTTTTTTGTTAGGTGTCAAAGGTAATGGTGAGCTGGTGGATGCTGTCCGCTTCCCTTAATGTGTTCTGTTTTGGTTTGGTTTTGTTTATGTCTGGGGACACAATGCATGATCTAGTTGAGCCCTCGGGGAGAAAAGGAAGATTAGCCAAAACAGGGACTTAAAGCTCATCAGGGAGAGTGGAGTAGCTAATATTATTAGACACCAGGCTAGAGCTACAGATGCTGTTGCTGCCGCCGCTGCCGCCGCTGCTGCATTGTGGAGAGAACAGATCATACTGAGTGGCAAAATCTCTGCTTGGAAGGGAAACACTGTAGACCTCTGTACGATGTTTATGTGGTATGTGGAATTTTTTTAATGGAGTTTTCTTGATGAAGGTCTTAGACTTGGAGAAAATGGTTGAATGGTTGTGTTATGTTAGATTGCAGTTTGAGTGTTTTTGTTTTAATATTTCTGACCCGTAATTAGCATGTTGCTAAGGCACTTGTTTTCAGACCACTTGATGGTGAGGCAAGGTAGGATGTAGTGCAGTGGTATGTGTACATGAGCATCAAGAAATACGTCCTGTAATCTGCATGCACCAGGAGGAATTTGCTCCCCCACTCCTCCCCCAGGTCAAGCCAGCTGCTGCAGAAACTGACATCCTCCAGCAAATCCTGAATGAATGAATGAAAACAACGTGATCGCCCTAATAATGACCACCACTGAGCACACATCTTTGGCTGTATTTTATAGAAAAGGCCACCATTTTCTATCAGATTAATGCCATATGCAACTCCCTTGCACATTTTCTAGGGCTATATGAAATGAGAGGTAACAGAATGAACAGAAGGCAGCAGTTACATAAATTTTTGAGTGATTTAGCGTCAACAGTGCATAGATTGAGTTTTGAGATTTTCTTTTAGGGACTAATATAAGAGCCATAAAATAAGCATTGCCGACATATAGTGTACAGAAGGTTTTGTAGACAGAGTAAGAGTAGTTTTGGCAATTGCTATATATATAATGGCCATCTCGTACCTCCTCCTCTTTTGTTGATAAACACTAACATCTTACAACAGATCATAGTAAGACTTGTTTTTCTACACCCTTCAAAAGCCTTAATTGCTTAGGAATTACATGGTCCATCATCAAGTAGTTTTAATGAAATTTGTGATCGGACTTAAACTGTCCTCTTTGTTGTAGCATGGCACATCCGAGTTTAATGCAATTTTAATGCAATCATGATGAAAACACTTCTGAGTCTGGTTGTGCTGTAGACAGATTTGCATCATCAGAGAGCTACTGGGAATGGAACCGACCTTTCTGCTGTTTTTAACACCAGGTGGTTTTGTCAGCTTCTTACATTGAAGTGATTTTGAATGCAGAGTCTTCTGAGCCCAGCTCCCTGATTCTATTACCTTGATGGTACTTCTCCATATCCCGCCTTGCTAGAGACCTATCCAAATTAAAACTGTGCAACCATTCTATTCTGTTTACTTAGCCATTTCAAATCAATACTATGAACAATTTTTCAAACGATTATCTACTCGGTTTCTTTTGAATTCTGCAAGGTTGTGACTTCAGTGGATTTTAGTCTCTTCAGGTCAAGGCTCCTGCCGCTGCCTGTGCTGCTGCAGACACTGACATCACTATACTGCATGAATGAAAAACAACAACGTGCTCCATTTCTTGCTCTCCACCTCCTTCCTTTTTTGCACACTCCTCTGGGGTGTGTGTGTGTGTGTGTGTGTGTGTGTGTGTGTGTGTGTGTGTTTAAGATGGTGTTATGCTGCGTATGAAACTACATTTAAAAATGTTAAGTAGATGGTGGCTGAAGGGATATGTATTTAGTATAGAGGCATATTGTTTACAGAAAGCTTTAAGTGCTGTGAGCAGTTAGACTAGAGGTGATCTACTGAGCATTCAGTATTTCTTAACTGGCCTGGTGGTTATGGAAGAAAACATAGAAGCTCTCAGCAATTTTCTTTGGAATTGTTTGCCAGGAAGAAATTACGGAGCAACATAATTTCTAAACATGTGAAATCATTATCTCCCTTTAAAACATTATTAATATGCATACTTATAGGGTTAAAGCTAAGAGTAATAAAGAAATGGTACTCCGATTATTTCAGAACGCTCAGGAAAAGCTGAATTCTTTATGTGCAATCAAATTTAATATATTAATTTATAAAATCCAGCAAGAAAATGGTAATTCCCTTTAATTTTGTAGTACAATTTCAGCTCATTTAAATGGCTCACACCACAGAGATACATAAATCTCCAAACACCTTTCTTATATAGAGAGGGCATGGAGTATGGATCATGTTTTTGTTTGTATTTTAAGCATTTCTTTTGTATTTTAAAACTTCAAGGTTTGTTATTTATATTCATTTCTTTACTTCTGCCATTAGCAAACTGTCACCCTCCCTCTTGTTTGGTTCTGAAGGGTCTTGAAGTGGTGAATGACAAGCTACTGAATGCACCCTCAGGCTCCCTGTGATGTGTTGTAATAGATGTAAAATCATAAAGTATTATGCAAATAGTTATTTTTTTGTAATGGTAATACGTAAAGTCTACCTTTGAGATAAATAGAATAACTCAAATGACGATATAGCAGAATGCTAGTGTTCAAATTAATGCTCTTTAAGCTAAAATCATGAGTGACAGCCAAAAGAAAATATTATAAATTTGCTTCTTTTTGAAACCTCATACAGCTAAACCTATAGATTTAAAAACAAAACAAATACAGATTTTACTGTGCACAAGAGTAAGCAGCAATTGCAAATCCTCTCGTTTTTCATAAAGATTGAACATTAGAATGAATTAAAAATTATAAAGATGTAAAAACAGTTGTTATTAGAGTACTTTGGATAGAGAATACTGCTTATTTTTATGTGTACCAAATCTAGTTAAAAACATGAAAGAGCTTGTAATTTATATAGCTCTTGCTATGAAAAATAGCATGCATTGATTCCTTATTTCACATAACAGATTTATTTAGGCCCAACACTCTTAACAGATTACTAACTGTAGAGTAAAATTTGATTAGAATTTTTCATGAGTATCTTGAGAGCCTTATTGTTTTATGCATTAAGAAGTTATGGTTATATTTTAAAAGAAAATACAAAACAAGCCAGCATATAATATTGAATGGATGTGTGCAGTGTGTGTGTGTCTGTGTGTTTTAATCAATTAATTTGCTTTCAGTTTTTTATCTCTTCATTAAATTCCCCTTTTTGAGTCCATTTATGCTGTACTCATTTTGTGGAATGCCAACATTTTAAATTACTTTTTTCTGTTTCTTTAAAAAGAAACTCAGACATTCTTTTCCTATAAAGTTACTTCTCAGGTGGATATCCTTGCAAATTAAGGTCCTCCTCTTGTCCCTACCTTTTAAAATCAATTTTCTTAAAGTACTTAGTGGAGCTTCTTTAAACCTTTCCTATACTGGAGTGAAACTAGTTAAAGTTGGGCTTTTTTTTTCTCCTAAAGTGACAGGTTTCAAATACTGATTTTTGGGAAAGGTTTTCAGCCTTTGAGAACTACATTAAGTATCAACAACATTAATAATTTATGTATCTAATTTTTCCCAGCATTATGGTGCATAAAATTTCTAGATCAGTGGGTGAATAGCAAAATAGATAGTAAGTAAATTTATAGAAATTATTCTTAAACCTACTGTTTTATGTTCAAAGATTACATTCCTCTCAAATAACTTTAAACATATTGAATATCATATACCTCAGGGGTATAAAAGCACCTAACTGTATGTAAAGTTTTGTATATATATTGAACTAAAAATTACTTCATTTTTTACAGTCCGGAGGACATTTCATTTACTGCAGTGTACATTTCTTCAAGTATTTAATGCAAATTGGATTTATACACTGGGGAAATGTTGAAGGGTAATAGCATCCTTGTAATTTTTATTTTATTTGTGATAATGCAGACTAAATGTGAATTAGAAAACAAAGGAATAATTGGTCTCCATGGCAATGAATAACAATGGAAATAGTTGGCAATGTCCACCAATGGCTAATAGGACAAGGTTTTTCTTAAATCTTAAGTTGATAAAAAAATTGTAAAGCCTGTTCTATGAAAACTTTCCAATGTAGTTAATAATCTGCTAAGGAGTATTACTAATGACTGTTATTCTTAATTTTAGTTCAGTCTTTTCTCCAGAGCTTAAAATTCCCAGACACCACCAAGGTAGGCTTTCCCACAGCACCTGTCCTGGGTCTGTGCCTGGCACTAGTATCTTTTGTCTTCAGTATATAATTTTGTTGTCTTAGTAAATGTCAAAGAAACCAAATCACTCATGCTGTTTCTGTCCTATATACTGTTTATTTCAACCAGAGATTGAACATATGTGATGATGGTCTCAAACTGGGTTTGCCAAAAATAAGTGGAGGAAAGAGAGAATACTACTCATTTATTGATATAGAAAGTCTAAAAAACTGATGGAAGAGCCAGAAGCTTTCTCTTGCCCTCTACCCCTTATCTGCACCCCTGGAACTTACCATGACTCCACCCATCACCCAACTGATTTTAGAAGAATAAGATTTGTGTGTATTCTACAAAACAAATTATAATGGAATAGTAGTAATTCTGAAGAAAATAAGGATTTTACTTACACCGTAAATAAACTTTGGAAAAATATTTTTCTAGTATTTCATTTTAGTAGAAATAAACATGGCAGATACCTGTAAGCAGTTTTGTTTACTTCAGGTGTGTATGTAATTGAGGCAAATACTGGGAGCAAGTTCATGAATGCCTCAGAAACTTCCCCTGTATTGTGTTGCCTCTAGTTGTAGGTGGAAAGAAAGCATTTGAGTGCTTACTATATACAAGGCAGTGTATACGTGCATTCATCAGGAAAGTGGACTTGAAATGCAGATCTGATTTCAGATCTGTTGTTCATTCCACAAGACTATCCTGTTGCTCCTAATTCCAAAAGACTGATGTTGGTGACCAGCCATGTTTTCTGAGCTAAAAAAAATTACTAAAGAATAGATTTCCTGTTGTTTCCACAGCACTACTGCACTGTACTGGGATATGCTTTGACATTTTCAGAATGTCTAAAAATGTAAGACCCAGGATGTTGAATGTAACTGAAATAGAATATGAATGGATTGGTCATATCTCTCTATTTGTTTCTTATGTGAAAGTGTGAGTGTGTGAGAGAGCAAGAGAGTGAAAGAGAAATGCTTGTTCCTGAGGGCTCAAGAATGTGAACTTGATTGTGCCTGGCCATCCTTACATCTAGAATCTGTGCTGTCCTTGAATCACGTTATAGTGAGCAGAAAAGTACTTTTCTCTGTGAATATTAAAAGATAGTTACACATGGTGGTAAACTGATGAATAATTCAGGAATCACTAAGCAGAAACTCTGGTCTCAAGTGATTGTCCCAGCAACTGATGCTAGGTTAACTGCTCTCCCTAGAGCTGTTATCACTGAATTTGTGGGTTTGAACTCTGTATGTTTGTAACTTAATGAAGTGCCACCGTGGTACACCTTAATGATGGCTCACCAGAAATAAGGATGAGCAAAACTAGTGAAACCCATCATCTTGTGGCAAGGTTAGTGTCCAAAATTGTCATACGGTTATTAGAATTTAGAAACCCACTAAACATCTAAACACATTTCATAACAAGAAGGCAAAAACTGCTACAACTTGCAGGCTAGTGTTTCTAAAGATCAAATACCTATCAACTACCAACAGTAATAGCCCCTTATTTAGCCAGTAGACCACGGGAGAGCTTTTCTGAATAGTCTGTATAGCTAATTTTAACTATTACATTTCTAAAAAAATTAATTATTTGATGAAACACTTTCTAAAATTATTATACAATCATTTTCCTAAGCAGAACAAACAAGACATAAATGAGCCTTTGTGGCTTGGTTAGCATTATTAATACCTAGTAAATTAATACCTAATAAAGTGATTATTGTAGATAGTATTGAATATAAGACTGAATGAGCATTGACTGACAACTAGTGTTGCCCTATAACTGATTCTATATGTTTGATTTTGGGATTGTCTTTTTTCTAATGAAGGTGGAATTATTCCTTGATAAAATAACCTGTCTCTTTTCCCTAGAATGAATTGTCAAGTTACAGATCGAAGAAATTATTTCACAAATGGTTTCATAAAAAACTCTTAGGAAAAAAAAGGTATATTGGAAAATATTAGAGTTGGAGTTCAAAAGATTTGGTTCTATTTCCAGTTTTAACAATTGACATATCAAGTCACTAACGCTTTGCATCTTGTTTTCCTGCCTTTAAAATGAGCAAGATGGTATTTTTAAGATTTTAGTTGGGTATGGAGGAAATTCTGCATGAAAGGAATACTTATTACACTAGATAATTCTTTTTTGTTTTGTTTTGTTTTTTGGCATTTCTCCCCCAACTTTACTGAGGTATAACTGACAAATGAAAATTGTATATACGTATTTAAGGTGTACAACATGATAATTTGATATACGTATAAATTGTGAAATGATTATCACAGTCAAGCTAATAAACACATCAGTCGCTTCACATGGTTACCTTTTTTTATGATGTGTGATGAGAACACAACATATTTCAAATATATAATATAGTATTATTAACTGTAGTCACTTTGCTGTACATTAGATCCCCAGAACTTACTCATCTTGTAACTGAAAGTTTGTACCCTTTGACTAACATTTCCCCATTTCCCTCATCTGCCAGCCCCTGGCAACCACCATACTACTCACTCCTTCTATGAATTCGACATTTTTAGATTCTACATATATATGAGATAATTTGTTTTTCTGTGTCTGACTTGTTTCACTTAGCACAGTGTCTTCCAAGTTCATCTATGTTGTTGCCAATGGCAGGATTTCCTTTTTAAAGGCAGTATAATATTTCATTGTGTATTTATACCACATTTTCTTTATCCATTCCTCCATCAGTGAGCACTTATATTATTTCCATAGCTTACCCATTGTGAATAATGCTGCAGTGAACTTGGGGATGCATATATGTCTTCAAGATAATGATTTCATGTCCTTTAGATATATACCCGGAAGTGAGATTGCCTGATTGTATGGCAGTTCAATTTTAAGTTTCTGAGGAACCTCCATACTGTTTTTCATTCCCACTAATTTACATTCCCAACAGCTGTGTACAGGGTTACCTTTTCTCCACATCCTCAACACTTAGGTCTTGTCTTTTTGATAATAGCCATTCCAACAGGTGTGAGGTGATAACTCATTGTGGTTTTAACTTGCATTTGATGATTAGTGCTTCTAAGCACCTTTTCATGTACATGTTAGCCATTTATATATCTTCTTTGGAAAAATGCCTATTCAGATCCTTTGCCCACTTTTAATCGAGTTACTTGTGTTTTTGCTATTGAGTTGTATGAGTTTCATATATTTTTTGGTAGATTAATCCCTTATCAGATGTATGGTTTGCAGATATTTTCTCCCATTCCATAGGTTGCCTTTTCTTTTGGTTGATTGTTTCCTTTGCTGTGCTTTTTAGTTTGATGTAATCCACTTGTTAATTTTTGTTTTTGTTGCTTGTCCTTTAGGTGTCATCCAAAATGTCACTGCAAAGACCAGTTATCAAGGTGCTTTTTCCCTGTATTTTCTTGTAGGAGTTTTACTTTTTCAGGTCTTATATTTAATTTTTTAATCCATTCTGAGTTAATTATGTGGATGACATAAGATATAAGGGTCCAGTTTTTTTCTTTTGCATCTAGATATCCAGTTTTCCCAACACCATTTATTGAAGAGACTGTTCTTTCCTCATTGTGTATTCTTGACACCCTTGTCAAAAATTAATTGAACATTTACGTGTGGGTTTATTTCTGGACTCTCTCTTCTGTTCCATTGTTCTATATGTCTGTTCTGATTACTATTGCATTGTGTAGACTAGCTGATTTTTAATAATGTTAGTTACCATTTATTGAGCTTATATGTCAGCCTCTAGTCTTTACTGGAACCCAGTGTAGAATACTTTCATAACCTCCCTCACAGATGAGGAAATGACATCTCAAGAAGTTAAGTAATTTGTCCAAGGTCAGGAAGTATGCACAGAGGGCCCATTTAACTCTCTAAGTCCTGACTTCAAGTTAGCTGAAAGTTGCTTTTGGAACCCAATTAATTATGGGGTAGGAAAGCATGCACAATGGGTTATCCCATTGCTTATACAGTTAAGTCATGGAAAGGCCAAAAATAGCTTTGGGGGGTTGCGTGAAGAGAAAGCTAAATGAGACTAGACTCTAGGGTCCACAGAACTTAAAATAGCTGCTAGTGTTCCCAGAGAGTCAGGCCTCAGGTATGCATAGAAGAATGTCACAGCACTTCAGAACCTTATTACACCATTAGTAGGCCTTTCCCTTGGTCTTTAAAGGACCTACCACTTTGTTAGGACAGGATTTAGAGTTAGTTTTTTAAAACTGCCTTTCACATGAAATCTCAAAATCTGGGTAGAGTAAGGTCTTTTGTGTTCTCATATTTGATGATGTAAGCTTTACAGTTGTAATAAAGCGTCATAAGGCTCCATCCAACCCTAACATGGATTCTTTACTTTTAGCATCCTTTGGTATTTTAGCAGCATTCAAATAGTACCTTTTTATATATAACCCTTATAGCAAAGCAACAAGGTATGGTGTCTTCTCAGTTTATACCTGCTTGGGCTCTTTCACTTTTTCCAGGTTTGCTGATGTGATAGTGAAAAGATATTTTGATCTCCATTCTAATAATTTCTCCCAGGGTGCTTTGGCACTTTTTTCAGTGTCACGTGTGCTTACTCTAAGCTCTCTTTAATAGTCAGTGGTGCAGCATGAGATGAGCCCTTTCATAAGTAACATTAGAAATGGTATTTTTATTAAGGTATTGAAAGTGTTGTAGAGAACTTATGTGATGGATGACGTTTCTCATGACATTTCTTCTGTAATTAAATTTCTTTTCTAGTTGAATACATCAGTTTATAAGTGGAATTATTGAAGTAATATTTGTATGTTAGAAGATAAAAATTAGTAGGGCGTAGCTTCTCAGGGTTACATCAGGTCTACCCATAGAAAAAACTTTACTATTCTCATGTAAACCTGTGAAGTGATCTTTCCATGAAGGTACAAAAAGATTATAGTAAAATATAGATTTGTTTATGTATTAGCTGGTAGTCTGTAAACAAAACACTACACTCATAATATCTTAGAGAGTTCTGTAGCAATGTCATTTTCTTCTAAACTATTTTTGAGGTAATCGGATGCATCGCCCTGCAGAGAATCAACTGTCCTTTTCCTGCTTAAAGTCAGGTTATTTAAGTGCCTAGCACTTACTAAACAGAGGTTAATAAACATTGCTAAATGCATTTTCATTAGTATTGTAAAATTGGGGAGTTAGACTGTGCTCAGAAATAAGGATTTTTGAAAAAAAGCTACACTATTCTGCAGCTTTTTGATCAGATAGCTTTACGAAACTTAATTTAAAATCCTAATCATTTACATGCCAAAATGACCCATTATTAAAAAATACCTGGTTCAGTCACTTGCATTTGTTTGCTCTTTGTCTTTTTGGTTAATATATGGCTAAAGATTAGTGTAGCTTTAGTGTAATTTTAGTGATAGCTGTTCATTAAAGAAATGTTTGTTTCAGGTATCATACTGGTTGTTGGCAGTATGTTGATGAGTAAAACTAATGGATTTTTTTCCTTTTTTCACACAATAAATATTGAATCCCTATTATGTCTGAGGAACTATGTTTGACCCTTACAGAATACACGCTCTAGGAGCAGTTGGTGTGCTCACACTCATATTTCTCATTTAAATCCTGCCAAGAATTTGACTTACAATTTTCTCTGAGGTTTGGACTTCATATATGCATTATTATTTCCTATGCTTACCTTCTAAGTTAGGTTGAGCTTTTTGGTATACTTGTTGAATAACAGATGTTCTGTTTATATGTGTTTTCCTTTCATGAGGCGCTTAGGAGAGCTTCATCCTGTGGCTTCTATAATGTATCTAGTTATAAGCCATATTGCTGTCTGGACATGATATAATATTCTGCTATAGCTTGGCTTAGGATGATGTCACTGTCATACTCTGTGCACACACATACACAAACACATCCTTTCAGAATTCTGAACTTAATTGTTGGATGTGGTTTCTTGTGTAGAAATGTAGTAATATGTAGTAACAATGTTATGTAGTAATACGTGGACAGTGGTGCCCTGTACGGCTACTGAAATGAGTAGGGCTTGGCTTTGACTCAGTATCTGCTATTACTGAGCTATCATAGAATGGAAAATAAACTTTTCATATTTTGTGTTACCATTTACTTGATATCTTGGTTGAATGCACAGTGACTTATTTGTCTTTATTATACTTAGAACTTACTTGTTTTCAATTTTTATCTATTTGTAGTTTTTACCTTAGAGGATTATTAGCATTATAGCCTTTAGTTATTACTATTCCGTTGTGGTAGCTAACCTTTAGGATAGTTGCCCTATTCTACTTGGTACTAAGCCAGGTGGTAAAAAAATAACGTCTTTATACAGATACTCCTATTTAATGGACTAGATACTCCTACTTAGTACACTTAATTTCATGGTACAGCAGATATGTTAGGTGAATCGTATTTTCTGAGTTGATTTTTCTTTTTTAGCTTGCATATGGAACACTGAAGAAAAGCTTATAGCCGCTACATGTAAACGTATAATAAACCAAAGAAAATTACATATAACGATTTTAGGAAATAGGAATGCATAGGAAACATAATGAAATAAATTACCATTAATATTTGTTATCATTTAAAAAAATTCGGTTTTGAATTAAGTGCCTCAAAACATAAAAGAAAGTAAATATATAGTACAGTAGCTGAATCTTTGACTAATCACTGTATTGTTCCCATAGTTAATACAGCAATTCTAGAGGCTTTAAGAGTTTAGTTATGATTTTTTATCTATCTTAAGTCGTTCTAATGTTTCTGTAACTCTGTATTCAAGGTAATTTGGGTGGACGTGTTTTCTTCACTAGGTAGCATCTTGTCATTTTTACCATTTCAGCATCTTGACTGGTGCTTAGAAGACCCTTCAACAAATAATTGTCAAATCCTAACATAGGATTTACCTAGAGATTTTTGTTTTAGGTATATATGTAGCTGGGTTCAAATCACTGAACAGTGGTTATTATGGCATACAGTCCTATAAACATCTGACAAAGATGAAAATTAATAGATTATACTTACATTGCCCGTTTTCTAAAATCCCTAATGGTTTAGGTAACTGCTGACTGTTATCTTCATTTAGGGCCTATCATTCACTGGTGATGTGTAAGCTTGGAAAAGTACCTATTTAGGCCTTCCTGTAAAAAGGAGTTGGGTGCTCTTCCTGGTAGAAATAGGTAGGACAAAGATGGGTGATGTCAGGATGTCAGGATTTGCCTTTTGAAATGGAAGATACACTTCTACAGAGTGAGTTTCTAAGTTATATTTAGAGTTCTGCTAAATGAATTTGGTGTAGTGAGGCTCCATGGAATCAGCTTTGCAAGCTGTTAATACTATTTAGAGAAACTTAACCCACCATGCTCAAAATTTGGTAGGCTTTTTCAATTAAAAATCTAAATGTTTTTATAGTTTGTTATGAAGATCATTATTCTAAGCTCCAAGAAAGGAGAATGTAAATTACATATTAATTTGTGCTTCATTATAACGTAAAAAATTAAAACTGGAGAGCAGATTTTGAGGTGGTTATTTGCTTTAGAGAATGTTTAACTTATGTGCAAGTAAAATTATTCAATTTACCAAAGTGTTATTTACACAAACTTTTTAGGAAGTCAGTTACACAAGGTTGAGGTTCATCTGAGGTTGTAAAAATGCATTACTGACTAGTGTAATTTTGAATTGCTGCATAAAATGTTATACTGACATTTAGCAGAATTAACTAATATCGTTGTTACAAATGAACGTGAATAGATCATTTCCATTCCCTTTCTAGTCTTAGTTTAAAGATTCTAAGAAATTTGGTATTGAAATAACCCCTAAAAGGGAAATAACTCTTATATATTAATGATTGTATTTTTTACATTTATCTGTGGAAAGATATGCTTTTAAATTAGATAAATATTCCAATTTTTTTTCTGGAATATTTTGTCCTTACAAAGAGAAGCTATTACTTCAGTTATAATTTCCAAGCAAACTGTTCCTAACCAGCTTCATGAGAAAGTACTTCTTCCGTCACATAAAACTTTCATAAAACCTTCTATTATTAACATCAGAAGGACCAAACAAGATTAAGCACAGTTAGACTAGAAATATGATTAGTGCAATGGGTTATGATTTTATTTATAATTGTATATTCCTGCAAGCCAATTTTAAAGTTTGTGTATATAAGGACCAAGAAATTAATTGACCAACTAATCTGTTTATTTCTAAAATCTACACATTATGGGAGAGAGTGTGTGTGTGTGTGTGTGTGTGTGTGTGTGTTTTGCATATGTGCACCCATGTGTGTGTATAAGGCCCTAAAGTTCACATTTCTTTCTCAGCAATCACTGACTCCTGAAGCTTTCTCCATACAGAGATTCGTGGTCATCTTTTCATAGTATTTTAAATAATTTTAATATGCTGAGTAGTATCGA